TAAGATGCTATGACAAGACACACTTGCCAAGTTTACTAATGATCTCATCTTTTAAAAATCTTAATGTAATGTAGCAAACAGATGTGTCCCTTAAGAGGATTAAGGTGGAAATTCATTAGTGCAATAATACCAGTGGATTTGTGTTCTAAAACTAACACCAATCAATCAACTTAGTGCACACCCTGTCTTAGCACTACTTAGCTTCTAGAGGCAACATAGAGAATGGGCAGCTGGGTCTTCGCCCTCAAGGAAGCTATCTGCAAACATAAGAAACAGTGAGAAACCCTGCACTGAGTGACTTAGCTACATCACCTGTAATAGGTGCTGCTCAGACTGTAGCATGCACAGGTATCACCAAAGCATCTTGGTAAAATGCATGTTCTGATTCAGCAGGTCAAGGGAGGTCAGAGAGTGTGCAGTTCTAATAAAGGCCCAGATGATGCCCAACCCACACTCCATATAGTAGGAAGATCTAATCCTCACTGTCATGGGTTAGTTTACAGACGGGATAGCCGAGGCAACAAGGCAACCACCAAAACAAAGGTAGTGAGAAAGGAACAATCAGGGAACATTCAAGTCTTATCCAATGAGGATGCATGCTGGAATGTGGACAGCTGCCTGGAAGGAGAACATTTAAGACACAAAAGAAGAGTCACTAAGAGCTTAGATCTGATGTCAGAAGCCAACTCTGCAACTTCAAACTGTGTGACCAAGTGGCTTCCTTCCAGTCTTGGTCTCTCTTGGTATGACATGCAATATCACCAGTACTTGGCCCGGGGATGGTTATGGGGTTGGTGAATAGACACATGTCTAGAATAGTCCCTGACTCAGACAAATGCCTAGGACACAGTAGCTATTATAACTAGTCTCTCTAACCTACAGCAGGCAATGAAACATTTTCTGAATTAAATTACAACATCATTTTTAAAACTTACTGTTTTGATGTGTATGCTAATAGTCATCACTTTGTTAAAAAAAAAATCTACAATTCTACAATTCCAGTTTTGTCCATCAAAGAGGAAAAAAGATAATCCTTGGATCCTTAAATTCCTTTAGCATCAGACAATCCAAAACACATTTTATGCTTTAAAATGCCCATTATGCTATTAATTCTGCTGCAATGTTTTTTTTTAAATTAGAAGTCCTATAATTACAACTTTTCTTTAAAATCATTAAGCCAGAAATAAACACCTAATTATGCATCATTTGAAGACAAAAACAAAAGGCTTCACTAACTGCAGCCAAAACATAACCACCAAAATGAACATCTCTCCTGTTTTGACCATTTTTATTACCAAACTAATGATTTATTTAATCATCTTACCTACTATGAAAAGCTGGTAGGGGTTTTTTGTTCTTTGGTTGGTTTGATTCTGTTTATTTCCCCAGCTCTGTCAGCTGGTGGGGCCGGGGTAGGGGGTAGGAAGGAGATAAAGCATAATAAGTATAATATATTGTTTTTGTCCAAGACAATAGTTTTGTTTAATGAATAACTTCTAATGAAATCAGCAGAGATCAGTAAAATTAATAGATCATTAGTTAAGATGTCCAGGCTTAAGCTTCAGCCAGAAAGGTCTTAGAGGTTGTCCAGTTCAACGGCTCCCGGGACAAGAGAATCCCTACACCAGCTTTAAAAATTGAGTTCCTCTGGGGTAGCTTTTTCCAGGTTGGTTACCTGTGTGTGTGAAAACTCATCCAGCCACACACTAATGCACTGTATTTTTCTGTGAGGATTGGGGGAATCTACTTCAATCATAAGTTACTCCCTCAGAGACTTGAACATGCAGGACATCTGAGAACACTGGGAGTGTGTGCACGTTCCATGCTCATGCTGTCCCCTTTCCACCACCCAGAGTGCCCTCCCCCTGCCCAAAGCAACTCCCCATCTTGCCAAGGTCAAAGTCGGTGGATCTGGGAGAAGTGTTCTCTGTAGCCCCAGAGAGCTTACTTGTGGCAGGCTCCTGGAATAACAGTTAGTCCACTCTCACCATAAGCTAATTCACAGAAGTGCTGGTAATATAAGTTCCCACCTCTGACTATGAACTCTACCAGACCAGGAATTCCGCAAGCTCTTACTCATGCTTCTAACATTCACCTGCCCTCAGGCCAAAAGGTGCCAGGCACACAAAGGTGATTGGGTGAACAGCCCAAGGTAATGGATCTGAAGACCCAGAAGGTACAGTTTCTGCCTACGGCCAGACAGCTGGTCCTGGGAGTGAAGAGTCTAACCAGGGCTTGCCTGGTTAGACTCTTTAGCTCCCTACTCTAAGCAGAGAAACTAGGTCATTTAAGTGAATTTCCTCATCTCTAAGGTAAAGAAAACAAAAGTCCCTACTTCTTGGAGCTGTGTAGTATTGAATGAGATCATGCACTGAGAGCCCCAGTGGAGCACATGCAGGGATGACAAGTGCTTAAAACTCACTAGCTCTTTGTACCATAGGTGGATCATCCAATTTTAAGATTTCTGCTGGAACCAGGGACAGTGGTACACGCCTATATCCCAGCAACTTGGGAGGCTGAGACAAGAGGATTGCAAATTCAAAGCCAGCCTCAGCAACTTAGTAAGACCCAGTCTCAAAGTAAAAAATAAAAAGGGCTGGGGATGTGGCTCAGTGGTTAAGCACCTCTGAGTTTAATCCCCTGTACCAAAAAATAAAAAATAAAATAGAGGGGCTGGGGCTGGGGCTCAGAGGCAAAGCGCTTTCCTCACATGCGTGAGGCACTGGGTTGGATCCTTAGCACCACATAAAATAAAAATAAAGTTATTGTGTCCACCTATAATTTAAAAATAAATATTTTTTAAAAAAATAAAATAAAATAGACAGGGCTGTAGATGTAGCTCAGTGTTAAAAAGTGCCTCTGGGTTAAATCCTCAATACAAGTAGAGGATAGGAAAGGCAGCAGAATACAACAGACACTAGTATGGCAATATGTAAATCAATGGATGTGTAACTGATGTGATTCTGCAATCTGTATAGGGGTAAAAATGGGAGTTCATAACCCACTTGAATCAAAGTGTGAAATATGATATATCAAGAACTATGTAATGTTTTGAACAACCAACAATAAAAAATTTTAAAAAAAATCCTCAATACAATAAATAAATAAATAAATAAATAAATTTCCTAGAAATTAAAGATAAGAATGTGCACTTAGCTACATAAATGCCCTAAATTCTGCTCTTGAATGGGAAAAAAATACAAATCATATGAATATGCTCCAGGAGTTTTTGCTCAAAAGATTCTGAGATTGAGGCTGGCAGGCCCTCAAGACAAGAGTTAAGGGTCTCTGTAAGTTATCTTCTGTTTGTCCCACAATGGACAACTTAGAAAATTCTGTGAGCCAGTGCAACTGCTATCCTGTGGCTTCTGGTGGGGGGTGGGGAGGAGGGGTACACCAGGATTTCCTCCTACCATGCCAAGAACACTGGATCAAGACTGGGGCTCTTCCATGGAAACATAAAAATATACTTCAGTTTGCAGCTTGAAAGGTCAACCCATGTATATAGGGTATGAAATCCAAGGAAACCACTTCAAGGTCACAAGGCCACAATTATGAGTCTTCTGTGGTTTCAACAAAAGATCACTGTAATCAGAGACCATAATGAATGGAATAATCATGATGTAGAAGAAACTGAAAACTTTTAACTGAATCCACAGATTGAGAAGAACCAAAGAATTTACTAAAATGATTCTGATAAGCTGAACCCATAATACAGCATTCTGTCCCTCTGTCTCCCCAATCCAGGGTGTTTTTAATGGCCAGAAAGGTTTTCATGTACAATAAGTATAACCATCCTGCACCAATAAGAGAATGAGATGGGACTGCCCCAGTTCTCATTCCTGAAAAGGGATTGCTAGTTAAGTGGGGTAGAGGAAGCACTGATATACTAATAGAAGGGGTAAACATCACTGTCAAAGTCCATTGATTTCCAGAAACAACCTCCTCTTGTACTTCCAAAGCAGGTGAACACCATATAGAAAATATGAAGAATTTTTCAAAATCACTTTTGTTCTTCTTGGCATCAAGGGTTATCTTGCCACATTTTTGTCAATGTTGATCTTCAAGGAACAAATCATCTCCAAGCTTTGACATGAACCCTACGCAGAAAATATAACGAAGTGGTAATTCTTCAAGGTGCAGTAAATCTATTTAAGTGAGAGAGTTTCTCTGGGTAACTAAATGATTAGCTTTCAATACCCTACTCTTTAGAACAATCACTTCACAAGACGCTGTCTTCCTTCAAAGAGTTTTAAAAAGAAGAATGAAAGAAAACTCTCTAACGGGTGGACTGAGAAACCATTCTTCCCAGGGGACACTCATTTGGGGCTCCGAGGCTAAGGCTTTGTGCGCGCGCCGCCCCCCACACCGCACCCCCACCCCTCCTCCCACAGAGACCGCTCCTCCAAGGTTTCCAAGGCCACCTGCTTCTCAGAAGAAAAAGGGGATACTGTGTGCGCTACCGCAGTGCGCGGTGGGCGTCCTCGCCGCTGCCCCCCGAGGCAAAGAAGGGGAGGTGTCCCCGGGAAGCATGCTTTGTCGCGAGGGTCGCGAGGGTCGCGAGGCCGCCCGCAGCTCCCCAGAGGCCCAAGAGAGGTTTTGTCTCCGGCGTCGCCCAGAGCTCTCCCCTAGGTTCTTTCCGCGCCTTCTTCAGGGCCAAACACAGGCATCTGAAACCCACCCCGCCCACCCCACCGATCTAACGGCCCGCAACTGGGAACCTTCTCCATCCCGCCTCCGGCCATCACCGCACCTGCTCGGCCGCACCGGCCCCAGCTCTGAGCCAGAGCGTGGGGCTGTCCTTCCCGCCCGCCCAAGAGGATTCCGCTCCAGTCCGCGGGTACCCAGAGCCCCTCCGCTTAAAGTGGAGAAGGATCTGCGCTAGGGCGCTTGTCCCCGGGGGCCGCGCCCAGTCAAGCCCGCCTGCGGCGCCCACACCCCCGCGCGCACCGCGGCAGGGGCCGAGTCCAGGGAACCTGGCTTGCCCTACCGGGTCGTACCTTGTGCGGCGCCCTTAGCAGCCGATGGACCCCGGCCAGCTGGGTGCCGAGCGCGAGGTCCTCGCGGAACGTGAACAGCGGCGGCCGGCTGGGCTCGGGGAAGTTGGTACTGTTGAAAGGGTCGGTGTCGTCCAAGAACTGCACCCGGCAAGCCAGCGTGGCCATGATGCATCCCTGCCGCGGGGGGCACGGGCCCCGGGGTCAGCGGGGCCGCGGGCCGGGACACCCGATCGCTCGGCGTAAGGGAGGCCGCAGCCGCCGCTCGCTGGCTCGCGGGCTCGCAGGCTCCGGCGCGCCCGGCTGCAGCCCGGGCTCCGGCCGCGGGGGGCGGGGCGGGGGCGGGGCCGGCGCGCCCCCTCCTTCCCTTCTTGCTCCGGCTCCTCCCCTCCTGCGTTCCCTGCTGCACCCTGCGCGGGACCCGAGTGCCCAGAGCCACCCGACCCTTACAGCTCCGACAAGTAAAGGGAGGAGGATTCTCTCCGCATCCGCAGCCCAGCGCTAAAACGCGTGGCAACGGCAGGCCGGAACGCACGGCCGGCAGACTGCTCTGCACGTGGCCCCGCAGCTTTGGCCCCCGCTACAGCCCCTTGGATCCCTGAGAACAGGGTTTGGGAGACAGGGCCGCCCTCCGGCTTTTTCCCCACCTGGGGCGGGGGGGGGGGGTAACCCTTAACAGATGAAAGTGGCAGCGGCCGGCTTCTTGCTGCCCGGATTCGTGAAAGCCCAGCTGGGCACCAGGGGGTGAGGGAATCGCCTCCCAGCACCGGGAGCCCAGATGTGGGCTTCCGGGAGGTTTTTCTTGGGGAGAAGGAAGGCTAGAGGAGAGAGAAGAGCCGGGGACCCCAGGCAGCTCTTCTCAGACGACAAGTTTAGGGGAAACCCCGGGGCACAAGGAGAGGCCTGGAGGGCTGCGAGACTAGGCGCAGGGCCTGGCCGGGGTACGCTAATTGGGCTGTGCATCATCACCGCATCCCTCCCCAGTTAGGTCTCTGAAAGCCTTAACTGGGCGTTTTGGAGCCTGGGAAAGGCGTGAGCTTCCGGTGAGGTCTCCGGATTGCGGACGGTGCCGGAGAACCCGGGATCCCCTCGTAATCTAGGGACTTAGAGGGAAACCTCCTCCAGCGAGGAGGCGCTGCCTTGCTCTGCTCTCCTCGCTGCTCACGGGCGACCCCCTTTGTTTCCAGTGAGAATTAACGGCTCTCTCCATTCCCAGGCTCTAGCTCAATTCGAAGTTGTAGGTCGCCCGACATCCAATCACTATTAACACCTAAGTCTCTGTGAAACAGCTCCTTAAGAAACCCTTATCTCATACTTAGAAGCCTCACGCTTTAATCATTCCCTCAGTGGGGCCTCCTTCCCCACCGTAAGTGTACATTTTGCCTGGTCTTAAAATAATCATCATCATCCCATGGTACTCCTGCCCCTTCCAGCTGAGCTTCTGGTTCTCAGTACTTTTGCTCCTGATCTCTTTGAGTCCTCTAGACAGGCCCTACACCAACCTCTCCATCTCCTCAAGGCCAGAATAAATAAACCCATAAACCCGACACCTTTAACACCAGTTTCCCAGGCTCCCACTTTGGTCATCCACCTCCCTCCTTCCTGAAAGTCAAACCAGAACTTTTGGCCACCTATTTCTTGAATTTGGGCTAACTTGGATCCCAGCCCATCATTTCATGTCTCCTTGCATGCCCTTCCTTCAGCCCCACTTGTCCTTTAAGTCCCTGGTTTACTCCTGCCCTATCTGCCAAGTGCCTACTGACCTCGGGGCCTCTCTGTGATCCATTATCACCCTAAATTCCCTCAGTGGGCATCCCCCTCCCCTCATGCTGCTGCAAACTTCTGCCACTTTTCTCCACCCATGGATTACTCAGTAGGAAATCAGTCTCTCCAGCAGGTACTGATGAAGCTTAGCAAACATGAACTTCTAGTACCCACTCCTGGCCACTCTCCATCTGCCCTCTCAGAAAATGACCAGATTTTCTCTGCTCAAGGATCTGCCTCCACCTAGACTCTAGATTCCCCCTCTCCCATTTGGATCATGCCCTGATATAGTTACAGCCCCTTTTCTCCCTGGGCTCCTTCCCCCTGGGAATCAGGACTAGATTCCTGATGTGCAACCTATGCAGCCACACAGGACCCTGCTCTCAAAAGAACCCCCAAACTGATTTAATGCTCTGCCATTGGTGTCTTGAAATTCTTAAGAATGTTTTAGCAATAGGCCCTGCATTTTCATTGTGTGCATGGAACCCACAAAGAACGTAGCCAGGCCTGACGAGAATAAATACTCAAGTGTTCTCCACCTTAAAAGCTATATCTTTATGAAAACTGACTCTTCTCCCTCACTTCCTAACCAGCTTCCAAAAGAGAAAGACACTCACTCACCTCTCAGCATCCTCATCACCTCTTCTGCCCAATTTAATGGCGCCAGAGGGCAACATCTCTGCCATTCTAAGATCACCAATGCCAGCTTAATTGCCTCATCCAGGAGCAGGACTTCAATCCTGCCTTCGCCTTTCTTGGCAGGATATGTCACCATGGCCCATTCCTTTCCCAAACTATTTCCTTCAGCCTCAGTGATCTACCCAATTTAGATTCTCACTTTTCCTCTTTCTCAGCTCCTTTTGGAGTCCTTGGCTCTGTGCTCTTCTTGGCCCTCTTCACATTCTTCCTGAAATTCCCTGGCTTCCATACACCTCAATCTGTGTGTATATGACATATAACTTTATACTCATGAAGGAGCCCATTCATCTTACTTCTAGGGCCCAATTTTCATGAGGCAATTCAACATCTTACCCTGGTTATCACACCACACAAAATGACACCCTCAACCCAACACCTCAACCCAGCTGCCCATCTAGGACCTCCTCTGCAAGGTTGTAAAAGACTGCTTTACCTGCTTGTCCATTGATTCCAATGCCTTCCAAGCCCTTGCAGTGTTGGGCATTGCAGTAATTGTTACTGTTAATTTACTCTCTATGCCACCAACAAATGGAAAACTCTGGGCAGGGGACATACCACTTTTAGTTCTATGGCTAGCAAAGAGAAGTCACACAATAAATTTCTGATGAATGAGTGGATATTTCCTATGCCTGTCTTCTAAAGTGTCTCCTTTTTCCAGTCTTACATCCTGCATGTAGTCTTCCACTGACTGCCCCAGAACTAGTAATCATTCTAAGATATACATTTGATGTGCCACACCTTAAAGTCTTTACATTCCAAACCCTTTGGCGTGACTCAGGAGGGCCTCTAAGTCCTGCCCCTGTCTACCTCTCTAGGCTCATATCTTGGTCTTTCCTCCACTTAACATTCTGCCTTCAAGTCACAATGAATGTATCACCCTTTGCAAAACAGGCTGAGCTTATTTATGGTGAGCGTGTCTACCTAGAATGCTCTTACTGTCTAGTAAACAGGTGAACCCACCTGTCCTTCAACGCTCATTTCTAACACCAACTCTGGAGAGCTATGTCCAACTCCACCTAAACAAGGATTGTCTCCCTTTCCTCTGTAGTTTCAAATAACTTTAACTATGTCTCAACTGTAGCACTTTCCAGGTTGCATTATAAATGCCTGTTTACCCTATCTTATCATTTGCCTACCCCACTAAACCAGAATATTTTTAGGATTGGAATTCGTGTTATTTTTAATCTTACAACTTCAGTGATGGGCACTTAAGATGAAATCTTTAACTTATTCTTTTTTAGAGAGAGAGAGAGAGAGAGAGAGAGAGAGAGAGAGAGAGAGAGAGAATCTTTTAATATTTATTTTTTAGTTTTCGGTGGACACAACATCTTTGTTTGTATGTGGTGCTGAGGATAGAACCCGGGTCTCACGCATGCCAGGCCAGCGCGCTACCGCTTGAGCCACATCCCCAGCCCAACTTATTTTTTTTAAGAAGGCTCTTCATTCTATTATTTATAAAAATAAAAATTTTTAATTAATTTGTTTATAATTTTTAAATTTATTCTAATTTGTTTATATATGACAGCAGAATGCATTTCAATTCATAGTATACATATAGAGCACATTTTTTCAGGTCTCTGGTTGTACACAAAGTAGACTCACACCATTCGTGTCTTCATACATATACTTAGGGTAATGATGTCCATCTCATTCCACCATCTTTCCTACCCCCTGGTCCCTCCTTATTCAATTCCCCAACTTGGAATTGAACCCAGGGGCACTCTACCACTGAGCTACATCCCCAGCCCTTTTTATTTTTATTTTGAGACTGACCTCACTAAGTTGCTCAGGCTGACCTCAAACTTGCAATCTTCCTGTCTCTGTCTCCCAAGTCACTAGGATTTCAGACATGTATCACCACACACAGCTCAATTTTTTTATTATTTTTTTCTTGAACAACTAAGTCTTCTCATATCCTTTCAATAGCTCAGAAAATGCCTGTCTTTGACCAAATCATATTGTTTTGGTATGTGTGTGTACAAATATATAACAATGAATCCCACATTATATATAATTATAATGCACCAATAAAGATTTGGAAACAAAATGCCTCTGTAAACATTGTCAAAACCTCTCAATTCCGCATTTTCCCCTGATGGAAACAGTTCATCAAGTCTTTCACTATCTTGTTCCAAATTGGTCTTTGTGGCTCTCTCAAACCTATGCTGCAGATTCCTTTGTAGAAACCCCTTAAGTATACATATACCCTTCTGAGAAAGGTAAATCTTTGGGAATTATCATGCCCTAGAGCACCTTTATTCACTGTCTTCATACTTGCCTTGGTATAGTAGTTTTGGTGGCAAAAATGACAACAATAAAAATGTCCTCATACCCCTTGTATCTCCACTATTTTGCACTATGACTTTGCCACTTCTGTCATTAAAGGGTAGAGCCTATTCCCTCATCCCTTTAATAGAACTGGCTTTGTAAATTGAGATGACCAAAACAATATGGCACAAATGACGTTGTGTGGCTTCTGAAGCTAGGTCTCAAGAGACCTTATGGCATCTTCTCTCACCCTCTTGGAATACTGTTCAAAGACTACCATTTCAAGATGCCAGGTCTAGCTTAGGAGAAGTGCTCAGAAAATTGCTACTGACTAGGGGGAAAATGGTTACTGGGTTATATAACAATGAACAATTGGCAAAGTGAAATCGCCTACAATAATGTAGAAGACACAAAAGGAATGTAATGAATTTAGAGAGTTGATAAAGGAGATGTCTAAGCAGAATGTTGAAAGTATTTGTTGCCTTCTTCTAGCTGTATATTATAATAAATTCTCTCTGGAAGCAGAATTTAGAGAAATTATAAAGTGCCTAATATTTCCTGGTTTATAA